TGCGTATTTTTACGGTGTTTGGTGAAGATCTATGATATTGAATATTTTGCATCTTGCCCTCCGTGTACTTTGCGTGTTCTTGAACCTTAACTTCTAGGTAGACGTGACAACCAACGTTGCTTTTTAGCCGTGAGTGTGGTCATGTGAGTTATCTGATATCCATCCGTGGATATCGAGGAACTCTGTTACATTAATGGGAAAGTGGAAGGAAGGAGAGCTGAAGAAGTGGTGAGTAAGAGTGGGGTAATAGATATGGTGCCGCATCTGAGGAGGAAGATTCAGATTTTTCGGCATATGCGGGGGCTGAGGAGAATGCGTCGTGTCCTATGTCAGATGGTTGACAGTGTACTGCTACGGCTGACCGCTCCTCGCAGATATACCGAAGCGGGAAGAAGGAGTATTCATGAATATGTGGAGAGGAGCCGCCGACTACTTGAGACCCTGCACGGAGTCATCATCCAGCCGATCATTCGCACGGTGAGAGGTGGCTCTAAGTTGTATAAAGAGAGGGTGATTCCCTCACTTTCCAGAGTACTACGGTTTCTCGATCGAGTGGCGGGGTTGATCAATCGGGCGATACGCTTTTTCAGTAACTAGAACGAATATGCAAGGCGGGATGGCGGGGATGGTGCCGGGTATGGCAGCGCAGGGGGCTGCCGGAGGTGGCGCCCATATGGGCGTACAAGGAGCTTTAGGATCCGGCATGTTCGGAGGAGGATTTGGAGTTCAGAGCGCCTTACCACATAACAGTTTGCCAGCATCCCCATATGGCGCTGTGACTTGTGGGAAGGCGGGCCATTATGCCAGGAACTGCTGGCAAGCGGCGAATAGACAACGGCCGGAGGAGGAGAATACTGAGGTGAGAGAGTTGCTCCAACGAATCTCAAAAAGGGAAAAGGAGGAGGAGGATAGAAAGAGGAAAGAAGTGGAGGAGACGAAGAAGAAAGAGGAGGAGGAACGGCGTGAGAGTGAAAAGCTTCGAGAGGAACAAGCGAGAGAAGCAAAGCTGGAAGCGACTATTGTTCGCATACTCCAGCAACGGAAGGAATCTCAGCTGGTTCCACCCGTTCCTCTGATAGCACCAGCTTCTCATGTAGTGTTCGACCCAAAGAAGCGTTCACCACGCTCTAAGGCTCAGATGCTACAGGACATTCGTAGTTATATCGCCGAATCAGAGGATGAAAGCGAGGAAGTGAGAGAAGAGGCGGAGAAGTTAGTGGAGGCACTAGAAAGTAGGAAGAACTCCAGGAAAGGCACTAGTTCCGTTTTGGCAACAGCAAGTTGGGCCGGCAAGAAGGTTACACCGAAGAAGATCACACCCAGGAAGGGGAAAGCTCCTGGTCGCGCGAATCTGACGAAGGGAGATGGATTCGAGACTCCGACGAAGATGAGTGTTGCAGAATGCTCCGGTGACAGTATGATTGAATTTGCATTAACACAGACCAAGGTATTGAGCGGTATGAAAGTGAATGAGATACGGAAGATCTACGATCAAGAAGGTTTCGACTATGCCAAGAAGGACATCACCATCCACGAGATTGTGAGGTGCCGTACAAGACTGGCGTACGAAGGTTTTTTCGAACTTAAGAGCGGGACGCCATCGTCTCAGAAGGCACAGGGCGGTGGCCTTGGATCTCCGTGATGAGTGATGGGATTACGACACATGCTGCGGCTGTCAGGTTTCGAGAGCTGATTACGAGAAGAAGTTATAGGGAAGCTAAATGTGTACGACCATTAATGGTAAAGGAGGAGGAAAACGATCTAGCACTTATTCTCATGTTGCTTGCTGTGAAAGGGCATATTCCCTGGATCAGGAAGCTGTTGAGATTCGTCGACCCGACAAAATCCGACGTCAATCTTTCTGGTGTCTATGCGGTGGTGAGTCCCTGCTGCAGACGGTTTTATATCGGATGCACGGTAAGGAAGATCATCACACGATGGGCTGAGCACGTGCAGTGTTCTCTGACCGGGAGCACAGGTAACACACCAAGGCTCCACACTTGGCTTAAGTCCTTTGGATGGCATAGCTACGTCGTCATACCTATGGTCGCTGGCGTGGAAGACATACAGATCGTGGAGAGCACACTCATCTCAAGGTTTTCGCCCTCCCTCAACACGATTGGCCGCCGGCAAATAAGGCGGAAGAAGCGCAGGAGAGGCGTTAAGTAGAGAACACGATCCGAGGAGAGACAGATAGGGGGAGTGATGATCTTCTGCATTCAAGGACGGAGGTGCGCGTCGCTCGCATCATTGCTCGAACGATTCGAAGGGACGAAGCAAGGTATCAATGTGGAAGTCGAGCCAGGTGGATATTGGATCGATTCGTGGAAGGCGATTCGTGAAAGGTATGGTGAGTCTTCGGTCGTCATAGACCACCTGAAGACTAAGTTGCGATATGTCAAGTCCACCATTCAGAAAGTTCAGTCTTTTCGTGTTGTGGCTCCTTTTTGCCCGAATCCGAATGTGAGATGAAATGAGATTATGTTTCTCTTATCGAGTAGGGTTGATTCTCAAGACATACATATAAAAAAGAAGAATCAAAATAGGAATTGATCAATTCCTATTTTGATTCTTCTTTTTTATATGTATGTCTTGAAAAAATAGACAAAAAAAAACAAAATGTTCATCTTGGAGACGTAAATATGTTAACTCATCTGGGATCCAAAGGAATAAGAGATTTCTGCGTGATTTGTTGGCTCAACCCTGGCGCGCCAGACTCTTACATCGACTTTCTAGTAGGAAGATGGTAGCCTTGTATAGGACTGCTGGCCTGTTTTCGAATACTAGAACTAGGAGTGAGCTGCGACATAAGATTTCTCGTACTGTGAAAGACAAGTTTGGAGTTGATATTAGGAAGAGGATTGTTGTCCGTGTCCCGTTTTCTACACAGCTCATTATGAGCGCAATTAGGGACCTGACCATGAAGATCGTTTCATTATCTGTCATGGATGATGCGATTCGATCTCTCGTGAATGAGAGGATGCGAATGGTTCGCCTGAAAGGTAGGACGGTTGGTAGCATCGTGCATAACTATAGGGTGATGCTGGATGCGGGAAGGGACACGTGCACATATGCCGATCTCACTCTGGAAAGATATCAGGGGCACGTCCAGATGAGACTTGATCACGTGACTAGTGTGCATCGTTTTGTCCACAATGCAAAGAACGTGACCGGCGGTAGAACTGTGACAAGAGACCAGCTGTTGGAAATTGTCATACAGGCCGTCCCAAAGTTGTGGAGACACAATGCTCTCCGGCTCACGGATCAAGATGTGACGCGGTGTTTCACGACCAGGGAATTGGCTCACACGTACTTGACAGAGCAGGAGGTAAAGAGGGAAGTATTCCGATTTCGGAGGTTGATGATGGTGCCGCTCGACAGAAAATCAGGGCGCTACTCTACTTATCTGCCCTGTACTGTATTTTCATGCGTTCCGCATGACCTTCTGCTGGAACCCGGGCTTCGTACCGACGCGGGAGAAAGAGGAGCACATCCTCGCTGCATCAAAGTCTGCATATAGAGCTGCTGGACTACATGCTCTTGGCACATGGCGCACCGACGGACGGATTGGGAGGGCATACGTGATTCCCAAGGACAAGGACTACACGAGATGACGACCAATTTCACCATCGTGGTCGGAACCATCGCGAACGGTGAGCGCCAGACTCGGGAGAGCACTCCGGTGCATGCTTCTGTGCCTCCCAGTCTCGTACCATTTCAGCTTGAATTCCACCGATCAACTGAAACCGACAATGTTGAAGGTCGTCACAAAAGTTGAGCAGGCTGGCGACACCGTGCTGGGGAGAAGCTATGACATAAAGGATATGTTTGCCAAGCTTCCCCATGATTATATCGTTGCATCCGCACAGTGGCTGATACGTATGCAAGAAGAGCGGGGACTGGTCGGAGTGAAGATCATCATAAGGGGAAAATGTTGCAAGATGGCAAGGAACATTAGGAAGGAGCAAGGGTATCTTACTCTCTCCTTTGATGATGTTCTCAACACACTCACGTATGAGCTACGCCATACATATACGATGTGTGAGCATCATGTGTATCGACAAGTGTTTGGGGTCCCTATGGGTAAGCACTCATCCCCCGCTCTTGCGAACTTACTCTGCGCAAAGGCTGAGTATACCTTTCTTCAGACCTCGGAGCCGACCGCCGATTAATAGCCGGTGTCCGCATGGTTGATGATGCATCCATTTTGGTTTCGTTTCAGAGTAATGATTTGGCATCTTTTCATAGGGCCACGGAGATTGTGGACTCGTTCGTCAAGTGCTACCCGGAGACTCTGAAATTAGTCAGGAAGGATGATGATAGCAATGCATGGGATTTTTTGGGAAACAGGATAGTGCTAGAACCTTCTCCACCGGTGCTGCATGTTTTTCCAAGAACAAAGAATCAGGTGTCCATTTTGGATACGGGCACTCTACATTTTCACTCCATGCAGGACTATCAGTCGTACTCAGCAAAGAGAGTGAAGAGGATGACCCTGACAGCATCCATGATCAGGCTATGGAGATCATCTACGGATGATATGGCAGCACGGGCCTCCATCATATGTGTTTTGAAAGAAGCACGCCTTCGGGACTACACCCCGGAGGTCTTCTTCGCATCCTTGGCTAGATTTGCCTGGGTGGTGGGTGGTAACTGGGGATCTTTGATCTCGCAAGTTTACCCCCACCAGGAAATTTCATAC